ATAAGTTAAAATGATCAGTTTGACCATAGAGCTATATTTAATCTGTATTAGATGTTTCTGATTTGAAGTATAATTTTCGTTTTGCGCCCCGCGGAGCAAAGGCCTAAAGCGCGAAATAACGACAAAGTTATAAATTTGCGTTTATTTAAGCTCCCTGTAGAATGCACAATTTTATGTGTTTGTGTGTGTGTGTGTGTGTGTGCGTGTGCGTGTGTGTGTCGTCTATTTTATAAGATGTCATTGGCAACTATAGCAACGAACGAGGATTTACGCTAGTGTAAAATGGCTGCTCACATCACAGCCATGCACTGCATACATTGAAAAGAACCGGATACAATGCTACCTTGATAAATGCCTGTTTAGATTTCGGCAGTAGTGAAAATTGAAGTCCATACTGTCACAGAATCTGACACTTTGTTTGTTTGTTTGTTTCATTTTACGCCTTTTTCAACAGTATTTCAGTCATATAGGCGGGTAGTTTCCTAACCATCGTTCCTGGAGAGTTACACCAGTACTAGACTACCTTCCTCCGACAGAATCTGACACAATGAGTCTTATTGATATAAAGGCAGTGCTGCCATGCTCACATTGGATATATCACAATGCCTTGGACAGTAATTAAGTATATCCTGATTAAACGATATATAAACTTTTAATATGTCATATGGCAACTTTCCAGACTTCAGGTGTTTCTTTCGTGCTTAATTGTAGGCACGAACGGGAACCCGGATAGAACCACCGACGTCCCATAAGTTACATGTGACTTACATAAAAGAATTCAAAGTCCATGGCGGGAGTCGAACCCACAGCGCTGAGAGGCAAGTTGTTTAAAGTCAACGACCATAACCATGCACTTGGCCACGGACGCCATTAATGAAGGATTTTCCATATGTTACTGACGCGAATATGATTTTTAGTCAAATCTCTCAATATGGCAATGCGGTATGAAATACAAGTATTTTCTAACAATATATTTATAGCAATAAAAACACACCACAGCACATGTACATATTGTTGACCACACACACTATAGGTAAAATAGATATTTTTTATTGAATTTTTATCACGATACAAGCAGATGTGAGATGTTTGCCACAATACAGATAAATGTAGGATGCTGACCACAATACAGATAAATGTAGGATGCTGACCACAATACAGATAAATGTAGGACGCTGACCACAATTAGGATTACTGTAGGACGCTGGCCACAATACAGATAAATGTAGGACGCTGGCCACAATACAGATAAATGTAGGATGCTGACCACAATACAGATAAATGTAGGATGCTGACCACAATACAGATACACGTAGGACGCTGACCACAATTCAGATAAATGTAGGACGCTGGCCACAATACAGATAAATGTAGGATGCTGACCACAATACAGATAAATGTAGGACGCTGGCCACAATACAGATAAATGTAAGATGCTGACCACAATTCAGATAAATGTAGGACGCTGGCCACAATACAGATAAATGTAGGACGCTGGCCACAATACAGATAAATGTAGGATGCTGACCACAATTCAGATAAATGTAGGACGCTGGCCACAATACAGATATTTGTAGGATGCTGACCACAATACAGATAAATGTAGGATGCTGACCACATTACAGATAAATGTAGGACGCCGACCACAATACAGTGGCAACAATACAGATAATGTAGGATGCTGACCACGATTCAGATATATGTAGGACTCTGGCCACAATACAGATAAATGTAGGACGCTGGCCACAATACAGATAAATGTAGGATGCTGACCACAATACAGATAAATGTAGGACGCTGGCCACAATACAGATAAATGTAGGATGCTGACCACAATACAGATAAATGTAGGATGCTGACCACAATACAGATAAATGTAGGACGCTGGCCACAATACAGATAAATGTAGGACGCTGGCCACAATACAGATAAATGTAGGACGCTGACCACAATACAGATAAATGTAGGACGCTGGCCACAATACAGATAAATGTAGGACGCTGACCACAATACAGATAAATGTAGGATGCTGACCACAATACAGATAAATATAGGATGCTGACCACAATACAGATAAATGTAGGATGCTGACCACAATACAGATAAATGTAGGATGCTGGCCACAATACAGATAAATGTAGGACGCTGACCACGATACAGATAAATGTAGGATGCTGACCACAATACTGATATTGTGAAACGCTGACCACAATACAGATAATGTGGGATGGTTGCCACAATGTGTTCTTTGATTGGGGTTTACGTCGCACCGACACAGTATAGGTCATATGGCGTTTTTCCAGCTTTACTGGTAGAGGAAGACCTCAGGTGCCATTCCGTGCATATTTCAGGTACAAATGGGCACCGGATTAGGACCATCGACGTTCCGTAAGCTAGATGGATAGCTCCCCCACCTGAAAGTCACTATCGGGATTCGAACCCACAGCTGTGAGTGAAAGTTGTATGTCTATTGTGTAGACACTGTTATAATAACAGATAAATGAATATATGAATATTTTATTGAAAATAACTTTAAACAATTTTATAACAACAACATATATATTGTATATATAGTATCAAAATTAGTTGAGAAAATAAACAATTTAATACAAAAGCATTGTAACTATGCACCGAAGAATTTAAACATACACGTGACTTAAAACAACAGTATCACATTCTCTAGAGATATGTTGTCATGGTTCTAATAATGATTGATTGTCTTCCTAAAGCAGTACATTTGTATCTAATGACAATAATGTAGACATTGTATAGTTCGTTGGTTCTATATCAATCAAAATAAACAAGAGTTGTAATCAGGTATTGGAAACAGTTATTCTGTGAAGATCAATAAAGCAGCAAATAGACACAGAAAGATATGTAAATATCCTCCAATAATATAAACAAATATATAAATATATACATGTATAACATATACAAGAGCAATATCTACTTTCAACATAGATCTTAACACTTTTCAAAATTATATAATTATTACTCTTAGTACAATAAAACAATCCTCTTTTTAACTAATTTTTCATTTTTGTTTTAGAAAATCTACTTGTAACAAGCATTTGATAGTATTGCGGGCAATACAGTAGTCCCCTACCGGTCCCTCAAAAAGTTCTTTAATTGTCATACACTCCTGTATATTGCCATTTATAATGAATTTGAGGATGAAGTCTGTATTTGAAAATATCAACCACAAAACATAATAAAATAAGTTTGTCTATATCACAGTAATGTGTTAAGTTTCCATGCTTAGTAAGGAAATTATGTTTATACAACCTTGTCATATTATTTAAAGTAAATCCTATAAGGAATGAAGAAGTTGGAGTGAAAATACCAGTTTCCTCGAAAAAAATCTAAGTTCAAGGGGGGACATAATTCTGGAAATAGTCTTGCTAGAGTATTTAACCTTCTCAAAAATGTCGAGTGATAATAAGAAACATATATATGAAGTTTGAAGTAGATACATTAGGAAATAAAGAAGTTATTTAAAAAAGACAACATTTTTTCCCCTAAAAAAATCTAAGTTCAAGGGAGGTAATACTGATATTTTTTTGCTAGAGTTATAAGCCTTGTCACATATGATGTGGTTGATGACCAGAAACTTATATTTAAAGTTTGAAGTAAACACCTTAAGAAATAAAGAACATATAGTGAAAAAGCTGAAAAATTTTAAATCAGAAATCTTGAAAATTCAGGCTATTTGTTGCCATAGCAACCAGAATTTTCAACATAGGAAGAAAAGAAAAAGATGTGCATAATCTCCAGACTGCCATCTACCAATATTTCAAGTTTCATAAAAATATTTTCAGTACTTTTTGAGTTATCACTGGATCCAGTTTATGTGCTAAATTTGCCATATTTTCAGACTATTTGTTGCCATAGCAACCAGAATTTTCAACATAGGAAGAAAAAAAAGACGTGCATAATCTCCATACTGCCATCTATCCATATATCAAGTTTCATAAAAATATTTTCAGTACTTTTTGCGTTATCGCGGGATCCAGTTTTGTGGACGGACGGACTGACGGACTGACAGACAGACAGACAGACGGACAGACAGACAGACGGACAGACGGACGGAGGGTAAACCTAAAGTCCCCTCCGGTTAAACCGGTAGGGGACTAAAAACGTTTTTAAATATAACGGCTTATTGTAAATTACAGTGTATAGTTACGGTAACGGTTTCTAAGGTGGTCAGTAACTGTACAGTATCATGTATATATATGATGACAATTCTCTCACACATCTCACAATACCATCTACCTCACATATCCAAGAGAACATCCCCATTTAAAAATGGGCCCTACATGGCAAAAACTAAAACATTAAAATGATACGTGAATAAAATGATGTAATAAATGACAGAAAAATGAAGATAAACTTTTGTATGTACAATAAAGAAAACTTCAGCACATACAATCTGATACCAGTACATCTTTCTTTCACATACACACAACATTATTATCAAATACATGTTTATTCTAGTGGAAATGATACAATAAATAAATACACACAAAAAAAACATTAAGATAATCTCATTACAATAATATCATAACAAAATATTTTTTTAGACAAATAAAACTGTCCAACTGAAAGTGATAAATATCCCCCAAGCCCCGCAGACAGTTTTTATTCCTACAACAAGAGCCGCTAAAAGCAGAGGCCACGCTTTTCTGATTACGACATGCAAAAATACTGAATAGGGACATTATTTTGGAAGACATTATTTTCAAAGATCAAGATCATATTTGAATTAACCATTAAAAATTTTGGCCAGGAATGATGCTTTGTCCTAGTATAAACCAAATCCACCAAATTTGATCAATAAAAATATGAGCTTTAAGATGATTCCTAGTTGAAAATCATTTACTTCCGACAGTTTGACGTTTATAAACATGTCATTGTGTCTAAATATCTATCAATTCTGTGTGAGCATCAAATATAAATTCTATGCATAAGTTACAAAGTTTTAAAGAATTCATAAAATATCAATTCATAAATAATAAAACTCTGGCAACTTTTTTACAATTCAATGAATTTACCATAGGATCCAATTCATTTATAGGTCAAGGTCAAATTGGGTTGAATATTCTTAAAATTAAGATCAAAAGGGTTATTATGTCAAAGTATGATTCTAACACGACCCGCATTTTTCCCTATTGAACATATAAGAACAGAAAGTGTGTGTTATTATGCAACAGATGCACAGTTTGACGTTCTATATTTAGACATGTGACGTAATCATTATACACGTGACGTAACCACTAAAAATCCGACGCGCTGAAAATAAGTACGGAAACAAATCAGGCGCAATTTTGCTTAACTATCAAGTACGGCAACATTTATTTGTTGATGTCGTGTTAGAATCGAAATAATATATCCAAATCAGTGATGTTATCGCTTGATAACATCACTGTTTGTCGTTCGGATGCGCATAATTATATCACTCGGGCTACGCCCTCGTGATATAATTCCTCGCATCCGAACTCCAAAGTGATGTTATTGAGCGATAAAATCACTGTTTGGGATATATTATTTCTTAAATACAATATACAGCCGATAACGTATAGCTTCTTTCACCCAAATTCAAGAAATTAACAATAAAGATCAAGGTTATTTATAGATGAAGGTAAACTTTCTTACGATATGCAGGCGCAAGTACACCTCATGAAAATTACTCCTATTATGCTTTATCATAATTGGTTGTGCGGTTTTTGAGAAGCGCACACAAGATTGCGTTCAAAGAAGGCCGGATGGTCAGTCTGAAATCGGTAAGTCTACCCATTTATAACTTTTGTTGTGTGGGAAATGAACATGACGCATTATTTTATATTCACAACTAGCAAAGTGTAAACACTTCACACATTGAAACACCTAGGACAACAATCTTCTGCATTTTCCAGTATAATTTACCAGGATTTCTTGTGAAAAGAGAATCTCAGTGAAGCTCCACATGCAGGGCAGTTAGGGTAGGTTTTCACCTCTTTCTTTGGTATATGCCAGCATTTACTACACCGGAGTCTATACTTCTTATATCTGAAGATAACCATAAACACTTAAATACAGGTGTATAAAGTTAAGATGAAAACCTGCCATTACAGTAAAACATGAGTAAATTCGAATAAATAAATAAATAAATAAATTTGAAACTTTTGAAAAATATTCCCAAAGAAATAACAATCATTGTTAAATAATTATAAATTTACCTGATACCACAAGCATTACAAAGCGGGGTACCATCCTCAGCGTCTCTCCACAGTGGTGTTCTACGTGTCTTACATGAGGTGCATGTCTTCACTGAAAATAAATAGAGAATACCATGCTAGTGTCTGATATAGGCAAGGCTTAGTGCGGACCTGATTAATTTTATAATATCAGACACTTGTTTGTATTCAATTTATCATATCTGCAATTTCAATATGCGTTTCTCTTTCTTTAAATCTCAAATGGAACAAAAAAAAAACTGCCAAGAACCACTCCAGTGCATGCCGCGCGCAGTTATATGCCAAAGGTCATATCTTTAAGAAATAGTCACAAATGTTTTACGCCAAATGTAAGAAAGATTTTAAAGTCCAAAAATGTATTCGTTTCAAAGTTCATCCGTTTAATATTTTCAAACTAATAAGAGGTAAAATATTCCATTCTCTTCATTTTATTTCATTATGTATTGATTAGGTGTCTGATAAAAACGTACAAAAAGTAAACAGATGACAAAGTAGAGGAAGGATTTAAGGAAGATCCCGGTTAGAATATATTTCAGTACCTAACGATAACTAGAGCAAGAGTAGGTCAGCTATGAGGGAATGTTTCAGCAATTTTAACTAAAATAACACAAGTTTTCAGATTGTAGCTTGGAATCTGGTCTAATCACAACATAATGTACATGTAATAAACTACTGTACCTGTTGTATGACAATCTTTATGACTGTAAGGTGGTGGGGATATATCAACAGAATGTACGTAATAAACTACTGTACCTGTTGTATGACAATCTTTATGACAGTAAGATGGTGGAAATATATCAACATAATGTATGTAATTAACTACCGTACCTGTTGTATGACAATCTTTATGACAGTAAGGTGGTGGGGATATATCAACATAATGTATGTAATTAACTACCGTACCTGTTGTATGACAATCTTTATGACAGTAAGGTGGTGGGGATGTATCAACATAATGTATGTAATAAACTACTGTACCTGTTGTATGACAATCTTTATGACAGTAAGGTGGTGGGGATATATCAACATTATGTATGTAATTAACTACCGTACCTGTTGTATGACAATCTTTATGACAGTAAGGTGGTGGGGATGTATCAACATAATGTATGTAATAAACTACTGTACCTGTTGTATGAAATCTTTATGACAGTAAGGTGGTGGGGATATATCAACATAATGTATGTAATTAACTACCGTACCTGTTGTATGACAATCTTTATGACAGTAAGGTGGTGGGGATATATCAACATAATGTATGTAATTAACTACTGTACCTGTTGTATGACAATCTTTATGACTGTAAGGTGGTGGGGATATATCAACATAATGTATGTAATTAACTACCGTACCTGTTGTATGACAATCTTTATGACAGTAAGGTGGTGGGGATATATTAACATAATGTATGTAATTAACTACCGTACCTGTTGTATGACAATCTTTATGACAGTAAGGTGGTGGGGATATATCAACATAATGTATGTAATAAACTACCGTACCTGTTGTATGACAATCTTTATGACAGTAAGGTGGTGGGGATATATCAACATAATGTATGTAATAAACTACTGTACCTGTTGTATGACAATCTTTATGACAGTAAGGTGGTGGGGATATATCAACATAATGTATGTAATAAACTACCGTACCTGTTGTATGACAATCTTTATGACAGTAAGGTGGTGGGGATATATCAACAGAATGTATGTAATAAACTACTGTACCTGTTCTATGACAATCTTTATGACAGTAAGGTGGTGGGGATATATCAACATAATGTATGTAATAAACTACTGTACCTGTTGTATGAAATCTTTATGACAGTAAGGTGTTGGGGATATATCAACATAATGTATGTAATAAACTACCTACCTGTGGTATGACAATGTTTATGACAGTAAGGTGGTGGGGATATATCAACATAACGTATGTAATAAACTACTGTTTCTGTTGTATGACAATGTTTATGACAATAAGGTGGTGGGGATATATCAACATAATGTATGTAATAAACTACCTACCTGTGGTATGACAATCTTTATGACAATAAGGTGGTGGGGATATATCAACATAATGTATGTAATTAACTACCGTACCTGTTGTATGACAATCTTTATGACAGTAAGGTGGTGGGGATGTATCAACATAATGTATGTAATAAACTACTGTACCTGTTGTATGACAATCTTTATGACAGTAAGGTGGTGGGGATATATCAACATAATGTATGTAATTAACTACCGTACCTGTTGTATGACAATCTTTATGACAGTAAGGTGGTGGGGATGTATCAACATAATGTATGTAATAAACTACTGTACCTGTTGTATGAAATCTTTATGACAGTAAGGTGGTGGGGATATATCAACATAATGTATGTAATTAACTACCGTACCTGTTGTATGACAATCTTTATGACAGTAAGGTGGTGGGGATATATCAACATAATGTATGTAATTAACTACTGTACCTGTTGTATGACAATCTTTATGACTGTAAGGTGGTGGGGATATATCAACATAATGTATGTAATTAACTACCGTACCTGTTGTATGACAATCTTTATGACAGTAAGGTGGTGGGGATATATTAACATAATGTATGTAATTAACTACCGTACCTGTTGTATGACAATCTTTATGACAGTAAGGTGGTGGGGATATATCAACATAATGTATGTAATAAACTACCGTACCTGTTGTATGACAATCTTTATGACAGTAAGGTGGTGGGATATATCAACATAATGTATGTAATAAACTACTGTACCTGTTGTATGACAATCTTTATGACAGTAAGGTGGTGGGGATATATCAACATAATGTATGTAATAAACTACCGTACCTGTTGTATGACAATCTTTATGACAGTAAGGTGGTGGGGATATATCAACAGAATGTATGTAATAAACTACTGTACCTGTTCTATGACAATCTTTATGACAGTAAGGTGGTGGGGATATATCAACATAATGTATGTAATAAACTACTGTACCTGTTGTATGAAATCTTTATGACAGTAAGGTGTTGGGGATATATCAACATAATGTATGTAATAAACTACCTACCTGTGGTATGACAATGTTTATGACAGTAAGGTGGTGGGGATATATCAACATAACGTATGTAATAAACTACTGTTTCTGTTGTATGACAATGTTTATGACAATAAGGTGGTGGGGATATATCAACATAATGTATGTAATAAACTACCTACCTGTGGTATGACAATCTTTATGACAATAAGGTGGTGGGAATATATCAACATATCGTATGTAATAAAGTACTGTACCTGTTGTATGACAATCTTTATGACAGTAAGGTGGTGGGGATGTATCAACAGAATGTATGTAATAAACTACTGTACCTGTTGTATGACAATCTTTGTGACAGTAAGGTGGTGGGGATATATCAACATACTAGTAATGTATGTAATAAACTACTGTACCTGTTGTATGACAATCTTTATGACAGTAAGGTGGTGGGGATATATCAACATAATGTATGTAATAAACTACTGTACCTGTTGTATGACAATCTTTATGACAGTAAGGTGGTGGGGATATATCAACATAACGTATGTAATAAAGTACTGTACCTGTTCTATGACAATCTTCATGACAGTAAGGTGGTGGGGATATATCAACATAATGTATGTAATAAACTACTGTACCTGTTGTATGACAATCTTTATGACAGTAAGGTGGTGGGGATATATCAACATACTAGTAATGTATGTAATAAACTACTGTACCTGTTGTATGACAATCTTTATGACAGTAAGGTGGTGGGGATATATCAACATAATGTATGTAATAAACTACTGTACCTGTTGTATGACAATGTTCATGACAGTAAGGTGGTGGGGATGTATCAACATAATGTATGTAATAAACTACCTACCTGTGGTATGACAATCTTTATGACAATAAGGTGGCGGGGATATATCAACATAATGTATGTAATAAAGTACTGTACCTGTTGTATGACAATCTTTATGACAGTAAGGTGGTGGGGATATATCAACATAATGTATGAAATAAACTACTGTACCTGTTGTATGACAATCTTTATGACAGTAAGGTGGTGGGGATATATCAACATAATGTATGTAATAAAGTACTGTACCTGTTGTATGACAATCTTTATGACAGTAAGGTGGTGGGGATATATCAACATAATGTATGTAATAAACTACCTACCTGTGGTATGACAATCTTTATGACAGTAAGGTGGTGGGGATATATCAACATAACGTATCTAATAAAGTATTGTACCTGTTGTATGACAATCTTTATGACAGTAAGGTGGTGGGGATATATCAACATAATGTATGTAATAAACTACTGTACCTGTTGTATGACAATCTTTATGACAGTAAGGTGTTGGGGATATATCAACATAACGTATGTAATAAACTACCTACCTGTGGTATGACAATCTTTATGACAGTAAGGTGGTGGGGATATATCAACATAATGTATGTAATAAAGTACTGTACCTGTTGTATGACAATCTTTATGACAGTAAGGTGTTGGGGATATATCAACATAATGTATGTAATAAACTACCTACCTGTGGTATGACAATCTTTATGACAGTAAGGTGGTGGGGATATATCAACAGAATGTATGTAATAAACTACTGTACCTGTTGTATGACAGTCTTTATGACAGTAAGGTGGTGGGGATATATCAACATAATGTATGTAATGAACTACTGTACCTGTTGTATGACAATCTTTATGACAGTAAGGTGGTGGGGATATATCGTCAGTATCGGAGGTGTATTGTGGTGTAGAACATCTATTACCATACACTGTTGATCGTCTTCTTGGTGACCGCACCTTCACATTACTTTTTCAAAAATATAACTGACAAATAATATGTGAACAGTTTGGCATTAGATCTACCCTGCGTTATATTATTCAAATACGCTATGTAATTACAGTTCGTATGATTTCGGCAAACTTTCGTACCAGTCTACAAAGCTCTCAAGATTATCGTGTTTTTTTTTTAAATATTAACGTTTTATTTAATTACAATCACAGTCCGATCAAAGCCAGAGACACAACATATTTTTTGTTAGTCTGGTCAAAGATAGATGTACATGTATAGCAATTACAAGAAGACAAAGACGACCCTGTACTGTATACTTAACTACCACATTCAATGAATTTAAAAACAAACAAAAGAAAAAAAAACATTATAAAAACAACAACATGCTTTGTAAAATGTAGAAAATTAGCAACAACATAACCAATAAATTGTAAGATTCAACATTCCCCAATACAATTTGTTCAATGTTTACACCCGGCTTACATACATGGGGTATTGTATATATAAATATTGTTTACCTCATTAAATACTGTACCAAACAAAAATGTTTATGAAACATGTATGCCGACCCCCCTACCCTTATGTAAACTAAATACTTATGACCATTAAATCAATATGGTCATTTACTAGTCATGATCAACAACCACACATTTTGACTCCACAAATTTAATGACTGAAGCCCGACGCGTTCTTTTGTTAGTTGGTCGGATAAGCTCCTGTTGTTGGAATCAATGACAATGACCTTGACATTTGACTACATGACCTAAAATCAAAATAGATCAACAACTTGTCATGACTACAGACCAGTGCGCTCGCAAGTTATTAGCAAAACAAGCATTTTGTGTCCAAGGCTTCAGTTACCTTCACCTTTAAACTATTGACCAAACAATCAATAGTAGCCTTGTTCAACCTCCACACAAAATAATGATATTGCAGGTTTATGCTTTGTTATGCTTTCTCTAGAAATTGGTCGGACAAACATTTTCTGGTCAACGCCACTGTGGCATCTATCTTTAAATGATTGACAATTTTAATCAATATGGGTCATCTGTCATGACCACCCTCAACACTAAACCATAGGACTGTAAGCAAAGGTATTATTAAGTAATTGGTCGGAAAAGGTGTGGACTTCAGGGTTAAACAATATAAAATTATCCCCATATTTTCAAAGGGGTGTATAATAAAATGTTTAATTCTAAAATAAAATAAATATACCTATAAAATGCGGACATATGTAAGCGGCTATGTCCGTTACTAAATGAAGTCTGAAAGCGCACTGTGACACCTTTAAATGAAGGATCATCTTTCACCGCACTACGACGTGGATATCTGGCTTTTCTCTTGCTCTTGTTTGACACATTTATGATGTCCTGTTTCGCTTTAGGCGGGTCTTCTTCAGAACTCGATGCTTCAACTGATGTTTCGGTGTCGCTCACGCATGCGTCACTTATATCGCTATATTTTTGAACTAGTTGTAGATTATTGTTTTTATCTATGCCTAGTGAGTCATCGTCATATTCATTTGACATGCTGTTCAAAGTGAACTTTTGTTTATCATCTAGACATTCAGAATCTACCTCACATGTATAGGCGATTGTATTTTGAGATTCAACTGTATCCCTGATTATAGGTGTTGTGTAATGGCTCGTGATGGTAGCCGTTTTACAACTTTCTTCTCCAATTTTACAAAAGGTGCTAGTATCAGCCGAAGAGTCATTCGTAACACTTTCGACAATTTTTCGAGCCTCTGCAATATCATTTATAAAGTTGTGTTCCGGATTTCTTTGAGCAATATTTACCAAATGTAATGGACGTGAGTTTAACAAAGAGGCTATGGTGCTATGACCACGGGTTAACTCTGAGACGTGACTCTGCTCATTGCCAGTGCTTGTTAGAGATATGAGTTTGGCGTATTCACTTAGAAGTCGATTAGAGTGGTAATCTTGGTAATTTATACCAGTATACTGATTAGAAACAACATTATTCAGGACGGTGTTTGATATGCTTCTTGGCTGGTCAACATTCCACTTTGGAGTGTCGCATTGTGCAATAAAGTAAGATCTTAATGCTAGAGGGGGGACTTGAAAACTTCGTACTTGTATTGGGGAACTCTGTGTTATCTCAAAACGTGATGAATGTTGATCTGGTAAAGTTCTCCTATTTGGTGTGGAGCTTTGAAGAAAACTTTCTCTGCGTGTAGGCCACACGTCATCATCCACTTCCTGTGACGGACACAGGTCGACAAATCCACTGTCGTCTGCATTGTATGTCGGGCTGAAATTAAAAAATAAAAGTTTTGCATAATCCCTTCCCGTCAGTTTTCATTCTTCATTAGTAATTGTAAGAAATCATGCATGAAACGATAATATTAAATAGTGCGCGCTTATAACGAACATATTACTACTTTCTCTACATAGAGTTTTCTCCCTTGGTGTTATCTGTATTGTAGACTTGATTCTGTGTACCTGTTATTGATTTTGATCTCCGTTCTTTTCAAAACATTTGCACAGTCAATACGATCTGTCAGATAACATAATACGACATAAAGAAAGTAAATAATATCATACAATTATAGACTATTTAGGTCGATATATAGTTTTTCTGGCCTGGTGAATCGACAATCGTCCTCTCAAGTCCAAAAAAAAATCTGTTGTTTCGTATACCAATAACAGTAAATGCGTTTATTTCTGTTAGATTTCGTCACCACTGTGTTTCAAAGATAAAAATTTACAAATATTTGACCATTGGACAAATTTCGTCAACACTGTGTTTCAAAGATTAAAATTTACAAAGAATTGACCATGGAAATAAGCTTTTAGCTTAAAGGGCAATCCTAGGTTATCATAAAACATACAAATCAATTTAATAATTTTTTGTTGCTTTTTTTGTGTGTTTTATATATGCAAGTTGATATATGTGACAATATGGTATGTATTTATGCATATTCTCTGAATGAATCGATACTGTTAAGAAGTTTCTATTTTGTCTCTGACAGCATCTGTGAAATAAGCGCCGGGTTTATATGTCCATTTTTGCAGACATACATCATTCAGAACGCCGCTTTTATGATTGGTATACGATAGGCAGTGATCACCCCTTATCAGTACAAAGATCTCTGCCAACACACATTTTTAACAGTATTTTGTGAAGAATATTTTTTTAGCTTTTGAATTTATTTTTCATTATTTTGTATACTTTTGATATAATTGATAAACTATAACACACCAGAAAGAGTAAAAATGACGTTAGGTTTTCTAATTAACGGTCGATATCGTTGTTACGTAAAATGACGTTCATCTTCATAGAGGATATTTGTTTGTTTTGCATGTAGGATTGAAATATAATTTCACTGAGTGAACACCAGGTGCAATATTTTACACGAGTGGCGTAGCCACGAGTGAAAATATAATAGCTGGTGTTCACGAATGAAATATATTTCAATCTTATATGTAAAACAAATAAATTTTCTTTTTATTTCATACTTTTTAAGTGATTTTAAGTATCTGATTACTGATTTTGCCGCGTAACGTCGCGCATTCTCCTTTGTGACGTCATCTCATCATGACGTCACGTCATCAATTTTGAAATATAGTTCTGTTAAATTTCTCTAATTTTGTTACCATTTTTTTACATGATGTATGATGACATCGACTTTCTTTCCTAAAGAAACAACAAAATTTACGTATGACGGCATTTATTTCTGTCTGTTATTCCATTTAGTTATGATTTTCTTTTCATCCGCATTCAGATATAGTCCGGCTACAGTGAAAATTATATTTTATAAATTTCACTAGTGGTTTATCGGAATATAATCATCTGATATATTACAATAAAACACCGGAAAGCATGAAATAAATGTGACGTCTTTAAATTCTGCCAATGAAGGTAATTACTGTGAGCTGTTTGACGATAATATTGAGTTGATTGACGTCATAGACGTAAAAGTTAATACATCATTACGTCATTACCATAGCTACCATTAAATGCCCTATACTCAATTTGATAAGTGTGTATTTTTTTGTATTAGAATATATATTAAAATCATTGACAAGGCGGATTACAAGACTTCCCACCATTACCACAAAATGGAGGAAATAGTAATTGTAAGTATAATGTATATACTTTTTAAACATTTTTTAACTTCAATTCATAGTCAGGGAATCTTATCTCTAGCTAATTTTAATAATAATAATAATAATAATAATAATAATAATAATAATAATAATAATAATAATAATAAAAAAATAATATAAAAAATAATAATAATAATAATAATAATAATAATATAAGAAAAAATATAATAAAGAATAATATAATAAATATAAGGTAACCGATGAAGATATCGTAAAATATCGTTGTTTACAATTCCTTAATTATAAGTAGGTAGGTTAACATATGGAAGGCAAGATTAGTAAGTAAATTAATTATATTTAAACACTAAAGTTATTAATAAATAGAGAAAATTGAATGAGTGTAAGTTCAATACTGAATTTATTGAACGAGTTGAATACAATTATATTATGCGAGCCTTTGGGGGAGCATATTATTTTATTCAACGAGTTCAATAAATTCAGTGATGAACTTACACTCATTCAATATTCTATTTATTACATACCCAAAATAAAGAAAATTACAAAGCAACTATATATGTCATCTATTCTAAATATAACATAGATATTTCACGATGATCCAAAGTGAATAATATTAAAAATAAATTACACTTAGATTTTATTTTTTTCATTTTAAAGAGTAGAACATGCACATACATTAAATACATATTACATGTATACATAAAGTATACTCGTATGATATTTGTTATTGATTTTCCCTATAAGCTATAAAATAAGAACTTTTGATATTTTGCACAGACACTTGGGGTTTGGAGCTCAAAACGCCTTTAAAATCCAATTAAATGCATATTTGTCAATCCCAGCACATGTTTTATAATAATAATATAGATGTTGAAATATGATTTTTTTTCAAAAAGGCTTTTATTAAGTTTTTTTGATATTTATGATCAGTACATGTGCTGGGATTGACAAATATGCATTTTATTTGGATTTTAAAGGCGTTTTGAGCTCCAAACCCCAAGTGTCTGTGATATTTTGCATGGATATTATTCTTGAAATGGGGTTTTCAATGCTGGACCTATTCAAAGAGTCAACCTTGACAAACTGATCTCTAAATTATGTTCCAATAAATTGTACTTTTTTAGTGGAGTGTGTGATTTTTCATCTTCACACAAGTGCATAGAATTTGACCTACAGATCGTCCGGTTTCTATTCATGCTAATTTTTTTCATTGTCAAATTAACACTATATTTCACAAGATTGACAGTTATAATAATGATTGACCAACAGTTGATATGGATAAAATATAACTCTTCCTAAACTGTATAAAAAATGAACCTAAACAAATTCAACTGAAGCCAATGCCGACGAACAGTCATGACAATAATGTTTTTTCGAAAACATCTAAAACAGTGACACATATTTGCTTAGATTCCTGTATAGTAAAAGATTCTCTCAATATTATTTAAGACGGTTGGCAGGCACATTAACCACCTTCTCACGGTTTTCATGGGTTTATGCCTTTGCTATAGCCATTGCCCATATTGTTTGTGTATTTATAAAAAATTATTACCTTATTATTAATTTGTTTTTGCTGTATATTAGTTAGTATTGTTCTCATCAGATAAAACAATTAATTTTCCTAGTTACATACAGTCTAAAATATCTGCAGAAACCATATATTTTCAGGGCATTGCCTTACTTCAATACCAGGACGATTGTATGAAAAGGTCAAGGTCACGTAGACAAAACAAGTGTAGAAACAATAAATACGCATGCTCCCAACAATGTCATTCGTACAAGAAAGTACCAACCCCATATAAAACGGTATGTTGGTCTTTTTCTTTGGTAAAATGGTGATTATTGAGCCGAATAATAATAAAACCATGCCATTTTATAAAAAAAAAATTTTTGGGTCACGTGGCCAAAATGTCAATCAAGGGCAAAACAATATATTTTCGACTTTTAAGTGAGTGAAAGTACAAAATAAGTACTGTAAAATGAATAAAAGATATTAAAATCGAAGCGGAGTTATATGTCCAACATTACAGATTTCTTAAAAATCAGTGTCTATGATAATATGGTTATTATTATCTCGCTATGAAATGACGGGAGGTGGTAGTGTGTGTCACATGTTGCGAAAGATGTTGCAAACTGACTGAGATTCGGACCGGGACTCTCGAGGTCAAAAGGTCAATGCCATAGCAGGGTACTGAACTTATGAGTATTTCTCATATTTATTAATCGCAGTTTATGTCTTATACATTACTTCTGTATACATGATAGAACTTCAAAATGAAATTTCCCTTATGACAATTATACATGACAACTATGTCAAGGTGAGGGTGAGAGCATGGGAATAAAGTGTATTACTAACACTGGTATATTCGTTCATGTATGATCATTGATCAATGTCTCATTAACTGTTACTCATGAGGCAGCTATGGTTACTTATGACCATTACAAGATGATGTTGTGTTATGCATGTCTAATTCTAGTTATAAGGTTAGTGAATACACAACATATTTGTTAACAAAAGAGCACAAGCAAATGTTTGTGGTTAAATCGATTGTTATTCAAATAAAAGGTCAGAGTAGAGATCTATCCATTAAGTCAAAGGAAAAGGTCACGCGGTAGTGTGTTGAAACAAGTGCATTTCAGATACAGTCGAACTTCGTTCGCTTGAACGCAAATGTGTTCGAGAGATCGGTGGAATCCTTAAATGAATTTTTACTTGAAGTTGTTTTTAAACATTATATGAATACATATGAATTACTAACAATAATAATTCCAGTTCTCATCTCGTTTATATTTGGAACGAATTCAATAATAAATAACAGCAATGGGTTAAAGACAAGATGATATTGTTGATTTCTACTCTAATGACAAATAGCTCGCAAAAATGGGCGGGAAAGAAAGCTCGTGAAATATCACGGAACAGTTTTGAAAAACCAGTTCTTCTATCTCCCATACAACAGAGGAAACAAGTCGGGCATATGGCTGACCAATGCTCATCGATATTGCTTAGGTGATGAAAACTGTTGAGAATCACCTATTAGATACCGATGTTAAACAATTAGTCCACAATTGAATAACAAACGGAACGCCGCAGTTGTCATAAATACTAAAATTGCTATTTTAACCGGTAATATTTGTAACTTTATTGGTAAAACTCGTACGCCGAATCATTTGCAAGTGTATAATCTTTTCTTAATATGTTTGCTTTTGCAGGGAAGAAGCACGAACAAAACAGTTTATAAAGGAATATCTGAATCTCGTAACAATGCAATCAAACCTGTAAACAACAGGCGGTCAGTAAGTTCCTTCGATACAGATAGCCAAAAACATTCTTTAACCACTCATAAAACAGATACCATACAATCTTCAATATCTGATTTTGTAGAACCTAAAAAGAAAAGTGTACCTTCACCAAAAAACACACCAGTTACAGCCCAAACTTCTAACTGTGACAACTTTTCAAACACTGTCCAGAGAGGTGAAATAGGTACAACTGTATGCAATGACAAAACATATAGGGCTATAGAATCTGTATCTTACAACAACAGAGAAGACAAAGAAAAGTATGCATCTGCCGTCAAAACAAACAACATAGAAATGTTTACACCCACTGTCCAAATAAATACAATAGATGAATCTACATCCATTATGTCTACATCTACTGTCCAAAAAGATAGCACGGAAAAATCTACAACCACTATCAAAATAAATGAATTAGGAAAGCCTTTATCCATTGTCAAAAATGACGCAGAAAATTTTGTATCAACTCTCATAATTGAAGATATTAAAAAGCCTTCACCTTCTGTCCAAAATGCTGACGTGGAAACTTCTACAGACAGTGTCCAAAAAGAGACTGAACAGTCTGCATCCTCTGTTAAAACAGATGAAATAGAAAAGCCTGCATCCACTATCAAGGCAAACGAAAATGAAAACAGGACACCTAAACTACAAACTGACAGCACAGAAAATAAATTACATAATGCACAATCAAAATCGAGTGTCATTCAAATCAAACATACAGGAAAATCTGCTTTCGCTTTCAAACCATGTGTTACAGAAAAGTCTATTTCCGCCATAAAAATTGGCGGCACTGATAACCAACCAACTTCCGTTCAGAGGTCGCCCAAAGATGATTCTGCATTGTGTATCAAAACGAATGCTAAAGGTAATACTGTTATAGATGTTAAATTGACAGCAAAGAATTATGATGGTAGACTAGCTAAAGATTCCAAGTACACCTTTAATAGATTCAAAACTGGATATCTCAAAGACTCTGCACCGGAACACGATCTGTCTGACACTATAGGTATTTCAGCCACTGTAGGACCGGATTCTACAACAATAGGACCGGATTCTACACCAATAAGACCGGATTCTATACCAATAGGACCGGATTCTACAACAATAGGACCGGATTCTACAACAATAGGACATACAGATAAAGGATATTTAACTCAATTAGTACAAACAGACGAACATAGAAATTTTAACAAGATAAATAACATTAAAGGGTCTAAAGTTTCTATCAGCAAGGAAACATTAGATTCTACGTTTGTATACAGTGCGGCTACCTTCCAAGAGACAAACGAGAACAACACTCTGCTTGTTTTTTCTCGTTATCATTAACCGGATGCTGTTTGTTTTATATAAAATACGAAAGCCAAAACTACAATTTAACTTTGCTTAATTATACCAGTAAAAATTCACGATAGTTGCATTTTTTAAAGTATATATATAATATAATACTCCTTATTATTAAAACAACAGTCAAACATAGGTTTATGGGTTACAGTATTTAAATATTGTTACCCGAGGCGTTCAGGTTAAGTGCTTTTACGAGGGATGATATTTAATTGTTAAACGCCTATGTGTTATTTATATTATTACCTCGAACAAATACTGTAACGATCTGAAATGTTCAACAAAACCTTACTGTAACAAGAGCCGGTTGAACCGGGTGATGCTCCCCGACTAGGATTTGGACACAGAAAAGTATATCTTTTGTAGTTTCAGGGTTATGTCCCAGACAAAGTTCAAAGTTTGATAATTCCAAAATAGTTGTAAAATCCGACTTCAAATAACGACATTATGGGCTGGACACAATTTTGCTTCATGGTCATGCTGTGATCTTGACCTTCAAGGTAGCGACCCAAATGTTGCACGCGACACATTGTCTCAATATGGTAATCATTTCTGTGAAATAGTTATGAAATCCGACTACAAATAACGAAGTTATGCGCTGGACACGATTTTGCTTCAAGGTCATGCTGTGACCTTGACCTTCAAGGTAGTGACCCAAATATTGTGTGCGACACGTCGTCTCAATATGGTGATCATTTCTGTAAAATAGTTGTAAAATCCGACTTCAATTTACGAAGTTATGGGCCGGACACGATTTTTGTTCAAGGTCATGCTGTGACCTTGACCTTCAAGGTAACGACGCAAATGTTGCGCGCGACACGTCGTCTCAATATGGTGATCATTTCTGTAAAATAGTTTTAAAATTCGACTTCAAATAACCAAGTTATAGGCCGGACACGATTTTTGTTCAAGGTCATGCTGTGACCTTGACCTTCAAGGAAGCGACCCAAATGTTGCACGCGACACGTCGCCTCAATATGGTGATCATTTCTGTGAAATAGTTGTAAAATCCGACTTCAAATAAGGGAGTTATGGGCCGGACACGATTTTTGTTCAAGGTCATGCTGTGACCTTGACCTTCAAGGTAGCGACCCAAATGTTGCGGGCGACACGTCGTCTCAATATGGTGATCATTTCTGTGAAATATTTTTAAAATCCGACTTCAAATAAGGAAGTTATGGGCCGGACACGATTTTGTTCAAGGTCATGCTGTGACCTTGACCTTCAAGGTAGCGACTCAATGTTGCGGGCGACACGTCGTCTCAATATGGTAATCATTTCTGTGAAATAGTTTTAAAATCCGACTTCAAATAACAAAGTTATGGGCCGGACACGAATTCGGGACGTACGTATGGACGGACGGACTGACGGACAACCCGACGACTATATGCTCCCCCAAATTTTTCGGGGAGCATAATAAAACTAACATAATTCATAGGATATGTTAGTATACTTCGTAACTCGCAATGAACACAATCGACAGCGTTTTTATGTTAACTTGCAAAGAACATAATCGACGGTGTTTATATGTTAACTTGCAAAGAACACAAACGACGGTGTTTAAATGTTAACTTGCAAAGAACATAATCGACGGCGTTTATATGTTAACTTGCAAAGAACACAATCGACGGTGTTTATATGTTAACTTGCAAAGAATACAATCGACGGCGTTTATATGTTAACTTGCAAAGAACATAATCGACGGTGTTTATATGTTAACTTGCAAAGAACATAATCGACGGTGTTTATATGCTAACTTGCAAAGAACATAATCGACGGTGTTTATATGTTAACTTGCAAAGAACATAATCGACGGTGTTTATATGCTAACTTGCAAAGAACATAATCGACGGTTTTTATATGCTAACTTGCAAAGAACATAATCGACGGTGTTTATATGTTTACTTGCAAAGAACATAATCGACGGTGTTCACAAACTAACTTAAAATGAACACAGTCGACAACGTTTATATGCTAACTTATAATACTGCACGTTTGTAACGTCATTTTTCATTGGATAATCGTCACGTTGATATAGTTTTATATACACGGCTTCTGTCGATTCATGAATAATCTTACTTTTTTCTCTAAAAATGATGCCTGCTGTACTATAAATTCGTCATAATTATTGTTGACAGGTTATATGGCCGTATATAAACGGCTGTTGCAATATAACCCTCGCCCGATGGCTCGGGTTATATTTACAAATAGCCGTTTATATAGGGACATATAACCTGTCAACGATCTTTAAAACTAATATTGTAATAAACACAATCAACGGCGTTTTAATGCTAACTTGCACTGAACATAATCGACAGCGTTTATATGGTAACTTGCAATGAACTTAATTAATCAACGACATTTATATGCTAACTTGCAATGAACACAATCGACGTGGTTTATATGCTAACTTGTAATGAACACAGTCGACAGCGTTTATATTACTAGTTATAAAGATTGTTGACAGGTCATATGGCCCTATATAAACGGCTATTTGTAAATATAACCCGAGCCGCTAGGTGTGGGCTATATTGCAAACAGCCGTTTATATACGGCAATATAACCTGTCAACAATCTTTATAACGAATTTATAATACAGCAAGCATCATTTTTTTAAAGAAAAAAAGTAAGATTTCTTCATGAGTCGACAGCAGCCGTGTATATAAAACTACATAAACGTCATGAATATCCAATGAAAAGCGACGTTACAAACGTGGAGTATATAAGCTTAACTGCAATGCACATAATCAATTGCGTTTATATGCTAACTTGTAACGAACATAATCGACGACGTTCATTAGTTTATATGTTTACTTGCAATGAACATAATCGACGGCGTTTATATGCTAACTTGCAATGAACATAATCAACGGCGTTCATTAGTTTATATGCACATAATCAACGGCGTTTATTTGTTTATATGTTTACTTGCAATGAACATAATCGACGGCGTTTATATGCTGACTTGTAATGAACATAATCAACGGCGTTCATTAGTTTATATGCACATAATCAACGGCGTTTATTTGTTTATATGTTTACTTGCAATGAACATAATCGACGGCGTTTATATGCTGACTTGTAATAAACATAATCGACAAAGTTTATATGCTTATTTGTAATGAACATAACCGACGAAGTTTATATGCTATATTTTAATGAACATAATAGCGTTTATATGCTTACTTGCAATGAACATAATCGACGTAATTTATAATTGAGCCGCGTCATGACAAAACCAACATAGTTAGTTGGCGACCAGCATGGATCCAGACCAGCCTGCTCATCCACGCAGTCTGATCAGGATCCATGCTGTTCACTTTACAATCCTATTACAAGAAGAGATACTGATAGCGAACAACATGGATCCTGATCAGACTGCGTGGATGCGCAGACTGGTCTGGATCCAGGCTGGTCGCAAATGCACTATGTTGGTTTTGTCGTGACGCGGCTCATATGCTAATTTGTAATGGACAGTATCAACGGCGTTTATTAGTTTATATGCTAACTTGCAATGAACATAATCGACGACATTTAAACTTTATATGCTAAATTGCAATGAACATAATCAACGGCGTTTATATGCTAATTTGTAATGGACATAACCGACGAAGTTTATATGCTAACTTGCAATTAACATAATCGACGAAGTTTATATGCTAACTTGCAATGAACATAATCGACGAAGTTTATATGCTAACTTGCAATTAACATAATCGACGTAGTTTATATGCTCACTTGTAATTTGAACTTGCGTGAATTTTGCGTAGTTCTGAAGTTCTTGATTGGCAAAATGTTCAGTTAAAACTTTGTTCTCAATGAAACGTCATTTTCTACTTTTTTATCTGCAACCAATATTGAATTTCATGATTTTGAAGAAAACAACAGCAAGCAGTTTGACAATTTAACTGGTATGTTTACGAGCTACTTTTAGATTACACAATATAATACATTTATACCCCAAAAAAGGAACCAAAAATGTGTTGGGAAAACAAGCGTTTTCAATCAGGTGGTTCAGACTCAATTACAATACAAGTTGTTTAAAAACAATTTAATGAATAGAAGGATTAAATTTTTGAAACTATCCATATTACGAGTATTGGGGAAATAAACGTATGACTGCAGAGTAATGTATGCACGATAGATATCAGTTTTGAGTGCATTGTTGTAGAATAACGCACAACTCTATTCAGATGTGCAGGAATATAATCACGAAGGGCGATAGGCCCAAGTGATAAATACATAGAGCATTTGAACTATTAACCGTGCAATACAGTGCATTAAAATAAAAGAATATAATGCAAGAAAAATTAATATACATTTCCATTCTAACATGCTAATAAAAAGACAATTGATTAACAGATTAAAACATGTTGAACTACATTGAGCGAAGAAGTAATTTTCCGGACATATGCACTTGATTGCCCTATCTGTTTGTACTGAGGCCATTAAACTGTATCAATGATTTTTTTCCAGGATTTTGGAAAAATGACCCATACCCATGGAATTGGGAATTTAAGGGATTTTTTGTTAAAAATTGGGTAAAAATGCACAACTGAAATTTTGAAGTGATTAAATGAATGCAAATAATAACTGTCTAGGATAGCATCTTCAAACATTTAAGCACTATTACAGTGAATGAGCCCCTATTTTTCAAAGATTATAGAAATTTTTATTCAATAATTTTATTTTATAACTTTTAATTGGGAATTTTTTACTGTGGATTGGGAAAATAATATGACCCAATAACGGCTATAAAATAAGCCAAAAAATCCCTGCTGTATAATTATTGAAATACAAAAGAACAATGTCAAATAAAGGTCAAATCCTGCAACGACTCAAAATGGAAAGTTTGAAAACAATTTGGCCAAATCGACCATATAGGACCATCAAGTTCATCTTATATCTTGTTCGTATACAACCGTTTGCTTCTAAACTACTTCATATGAGATAAAATCAAATGCTACAACAGTTTTAAAATACTCACCTTTTGAACTTGGGTGTGTGTTTACTGTTGTCTTCATTTGAAGTATCACAATTCGATCCCTCTGTATTTTGATCTTGGACCCTTTCAGAGCTCCCTTTTGATTCACTGTGATCAATATTCTCCGTTAGCCATGTCTGATGGCGCGACCCTTCCATTTTCCGGGAGAAATCAACTGTAAATAAGTTACTTGTCTATATGTCAGAAGCGTTCCATCATGTACATTTCATGACATGTACTTGATTGTGTTAATCTATTTTTAAAATCGGTCGAGCGATGATTGGCCCGAAAAGCACGCGCTTCACGAGGTTGACAGGTGATAAATAGTGTAAGAGTCATGTACATTTTATTAACACAAACGGGAAAATATGAGTGTTCCGCTACACCTGTGTCTCTGTTAATAATTTTACATAAGCACAATGACAGACTCAGTGGTACGTTTATTTTTGTTTTTGTTGTTGTTGTTCTGTCAAAAGCGATCAGAAACTTCTACGGTACCAAGCAATATAGCCAAGCATGCATGTACAACATTATTGCCTTATTGAATGTAGGTATACTAAGTTATGACGCCGTCCCCCACACATATATACAACCCCTAGCAACCACGAACTTCAGATGTGTCTCGTGGGCAATAACTATGATGTGACTTTTCTACATATGCATGTAGGCATCATTTGTTTTGTACAACATCATCATGTTTAAATGATCAAATAATATACATGTATATTATATATGTGAATGCTTAATAAGCTGAAAATACGAAAACTACAAGCTGGAGACATTTTTCTGGAAGACAAAAGGATCACACTTGTCTTAGAGGCATAATTACCACGGATTAGGCACTGGTCCCCTTTTTGTGTCGCCTCTACAGAGTAGTGGCGACATATAGGGATTACTTCTCCGTCGTCTGTCTGTCCGTCTGTCTGTCTGTCTGTCCGTCTGTCCGTCGGTCCGTCACAAAACTTGTCCGGACTACTCCTCATAAACTACTGGTGCAATTTCATCCAAACTTTACAGGAATGATCACTACCAAGTCTAGTTGTGCATATTGTCAGCATTTTCCGGTTCAATGATTTTTGTCACAGTTATGGCCCTTTAATAATTTTTAATTTTAAAGTTTGTCCGGACTACTTCTCTTATACCACTAATGCAATTTCAATGAAACTTTACAGGATTGATCTGTAGCTCAAGTCCTTGCGCATATTGCACGGGTTTTCCAGTTGAATGATTTTTGGCCGAGTTATGGCCCTTTGATAAAAAGGTGTTTTTTTTCTGTGTGTTGCCAGATACACAAAATCTTGTCCGGACTACTCCTCATAAACTACTGGTGCAATTTCATCCAAACTTTACAGGAATGATCAGTACCAAGTCTAGTTGTGCATATTGTCAGCATTTTTCGGTTCAATGATTTTTGTCACAGTTATGGCCCTTAAATAATTTTTTAATTTTAAAGTTTGTCTGGACTACTTCTCTTATACCACTAATGCAATTTCAATGAAACTTTACAGGATTGATCTGTAGCTCAAGTCCTTGCGCATATTGCACGGGTTTTTAGGTTGAATGATTTTTGGCCGAGTTATGGCCCTTTGATAAAAAGGTGTTTTTTCTGTGTGTTGCCAGATACACAAAATCTTGTCCGGACTACTCCTCATAAACTACTGGTGCAATTTCATCCAAACTTTACAGGAATGATCAGTACCAAGTCTAGTTGTGCATATTGTCAGCATTTTTCGGTTCAATGATTTTTGTCACAGTTATGGCCCTTTAATAATTTTTAATTTTAAAGTTTGTCCGGACTACTTCTCTTATACCACTAATGCAATTTCAATGAAACTTTACAGGATTGATCTGTAGCTCAAGTCCTTGCGCATATTGCACGGGTTTTCAGGTTGAATGATTTTTGGCCAAGTTATGGCCCTTTGATAAAAAGGTGTTTTTTTTCTGTGTGTTGCCAGATACGCAAAAGCTTGTCCGGACTACTCCTCATAAACAACTGGTGCAATTTTATCCAAACTTTACAGGAATGATCAGTACCAAGTCTAGTTGTGCACTGTCCGTCTGTCTGTCCGTCTGTCACAAAATTTGTCCCAACATGAAATTGGCCATTATGAGGCGACACATGTGATTACTGATCGCTCTTGTTAATCGTAAGATAAACGAATATCTGTAGATTTCATAGAAAATCACGATAACCTGCTTATTAAAAAAGATATGAATATTCGAATTGATAGATTAATCATTGATTTTAACACAATTGTTCGCTATCACCTGCGTGCTTATCATACAACCACAACTTTGACAACATGAAAATTGGTTTTACACCAATCATGAACACGCACTGCATAAAGATTGTTTATAAATGCCGTAACACTAATGGCATACAGGTGACATTTACAGTTCTGTATAATATATGTAATATCATTTTAATATATTATCTACATAAATACCCAATATTTCAATGGTAAAATATTCTAGGATTACAAATATCATTCAGCATGTCCGTCAGGCCGTTCGTGCGACCGTTCGGGACTATGGACAATCGGAGGTATAGATTCAAAACTTCAAGGAGGATAAATCTCTATTATGAAAGGTGCAGTGCTCACAACCATAACTTGTTGTTTTGCTTAACTTTGAAGTTACTGCTCTTTGTAATTGGATACATTAATTCTTCCTGGCATAGCTATAAAATGATTAGAGGTACCAACTAGAAATTTCGGAGATTGAAGAATTTATAAAATAATAAGTGTCCAAGAACTATAACTCATGTTGCATAACTCTGGAGTTATTGCCCTTTAAAAGAATTTCATACTTAATTTTTGTTTTTGGCCAAACTCTAAAAAATATAGATAGTATGGTCAATAGTTCTGCACGTTTGTAACGTCGTTTTTCATTGGATAAACGTGACGTTTATAAATAATATACACGAATTAACTAGTTAGTTATGTGGTTAACTACAGTTACGTAACTAGTTAATTTTTTTTTAATGAATAAAAAAACATGCGGGGAAAAGCATGTTATGCCTAACTTTCCATCCTTTCATTATTTTACCAGCTTAAATTTACTAGTTAGTTTATATTGGTTATTTTGGGGGCCCGAAATTTTCCACCTAAATTCATTTAAAGTTATTTCATTTTCTACTAGCTGTTTGACACATGCAAACAATGAGGGCCAATCAACCTGTACAAAAGTACTAGATATAACCAACAATATAAAACATTAATTTTATCATTTATGTAGTGCATGTTCAGTGCATAGTAATTTTAAACAATAAGGAAAAATAATCACACTTAATGACACAATATATAAACACAACTCCAGATAACACAATATTTCCGGCAGTTTATTTTCATTAGTAGATCAGCTGACATTTCATCAAATGTTTGTGTAGAATCACTTATCGTACATTTTGTATAAGTGGTATCTAAGGATATGTTATAAAGGATACACAATATTGTTTTAATCTTTTGTGGATTGTCTTGTATTTTCAGTAAATGTTTACCGGATTTGTAGTGTAGAATCATAGGAATGCAAACGTTATTACAGCCGGAGAAAATCGTTCCCGGAATATGTGACATAATCAGCGGTATAACCACGCGTTAAAGAAACACGTTTCAAAAAAGGCGTGGCGTGACATGAAACATTGCATGGCGTTGACCACCGCTGAGTACGTATCCCCTTCTTTTTTATTACTTGCAGTAAACCTATTTAATATTACCCACAGGTATAGGCACATTTGTCTTGCCAGGCCAAATTATCATAAAATAACCTCCCCTTTATCACGAAGACCCAGCATCCGTTTACTATAATATTATAGATATACGCTCTAATTAGCCGTATATTCGCCGTATTAAAAACGCGAATTTGAATTTGCCGTAGTTTTCTTCATCGGCATATATTATTTATATCTTTATGTATTGTCGGGTGCTTGATAGTTATTTGGCAATTGGTGATCAGGGGAAGATTTTTTTTAATGATAATGGCAAGTCAAATATGTCGAACGCACGTGATATAGTCAAATGATAATGGAATTTGGTTAGTCACACATTCATGTTATCAATATTTAAAAATAACTTCCTTCCGTTGCAATCAGAAAAGAAATCTTATATAAGTCCTCATAATACCAGTGAGCACCCAGATAGAACAACCGCAGGAAAATAATCTTTTACATCGAGATTTCTCTAAAAGGAAATAAGTTTTTTTTATTTAATTATAAAATATAAATGCAACATATATGTTATTGTCCAAGGTCTCTTAGGAGATTCGTACCAGCAACTGTGATTAATTCAGCAACATTGACCACTCATACTAAGGGATGAATTATCTATAGTTGTTTCTATTCACACCACTGAGGTTCTTTTTCACATACAAGGGTTGGATATATTTTCCTCACAATTTTGTACCATTTGATGTAGGTCTCTACCAATAGTGACTACTAATAACCTGTGTGCTAAATTACACATCGATCGCTCTGTTCGAATTTTTTTAACGAATAACCATTTAGTGTGCATGCTAAAATGAAAGGGTTAAAACCCAAATCAGGCTAAGAATAGCGTTCAATTTATTTCTTAGTATAATTTCTTTTTTATCCTTAGCATAGTTTTCCGTATAAAAATGCACCAGTTGATAATGTAAGATTTCAAATTTTACATTTTAGGCCATTCGACCCCATTGAAGCTCTTTCATTCATTTTATTACCGACATATAAACGAATATGCTTCATTTCACTGTCCATACACTTCTATAAGAACTGTTTTCTCTAGAAGTACATCTGTAATATAATCAATAGAGGAGGATTCATATAAATGATCAATACAGCTTGAAGCAAAGTTGCTCTTTCTGTCATTCATAGACTGGTCATAATTTGTGATAAGCATATTAATAATTTACTGCAATTTAACAATTCTGGATTTATTGTGAAGTATTCCATTACGGTTGCTACATGGACTATGGTGTACACAATGAAACCATTTATGTGAGTACATATCATATAACGAGTGTAATTGTATGTTCACATACTGTATGGAAACCTACAGTATGAATGTATACTATTATAATACATAATGAACATAAACATGATGTTTAAATGTATACTATTATAATACATAATGAACATAAACATGATGTTTAAATGTATACTATTATAATACATAATGAACATAAACATGATGTTTAAATGTATACTATTATAATACATAATGAACATAAACATGATGTTTAAATGTATACTATTATAATACATAATGAACATAAACATGATGTTTAAATGTATACTATTATAATACATAATGAACATAAACATGATGTTTAAATGTATACTATTATAATACATAGTGAACATAAACAATATGTTTAAATGTATACTATTATAATACATAATGAACATAAACATGATGTTTAAATGTATACTATTATAATACATAATGAACATAAACATGATGTTTAAATGTATACTATTATAATACATAATAAACATAAACATATGTTTAAGTGTATACTATTATAATACATAATGAACATAAACATGTTGTTTATATGTATACTATTATAATACACAATGAACATAAACATCATGTTTAAATGTTAACTATTATAATACACAATGAAAATAAACATCATGTTTAAATGTATAAAACATAATGAGTATAAACATGATGTTTACATGTATACTATTATATACATAGTGAACATAAACAATATGTTTATATGTATACTAATACAATACATAATGAACATAAACATGATGTTTAAATGTATGCTATTATAATACATAATGTATATAAACATGATGTTCAAATGTATACTTTTATAATGCTGTCAGTCATTAAACATGCTGTATGCATAATATTATAATGAACGTTTAACATAAACATGGTATGCATATGAATGCTATTAAAATATAAAATATAAACATGCTGTAGAAAATGTTAACTATTATAATACAGGTAAAATATAAATATGCTGTTCAAATGTTGATTATTATAATACTTAGTACATGTTGAACATTCACATGCTGTCTGTACAAATGTTTACTATGTAATACATGTTATTATGCTCCCCGAAAATTTTCGGGGGAGCATATAGTCGCCGGGTTGTCCGTCCGTCCGTACGTCCGTCCCAAATTCGTGTCCGGCCCATAACTTTGTTATTTGAAGTCGGATTTTACAACTATTTCACTGAAATAATCACCATATTGAGACGACTTTTGGGTCTCTACCATGAAGGTCAAGGTCACAGCATGACCTTGAAGCAAAATAATGTCCGGCCCATAACTTCGTTATTTGAAGTCGGATTAATCATTTTACGACTATTTCACAGAAATGATCACCATATTGAGACGACGTGTCGCGCGCAAGTCGATAGATAGATTAAATTGAGTAAAAATGCAGTGCAAAGAACAGTAACTTTGTATTGCCTAAGTTTGGAATTATCACACTTGAACTTTGTCTGGGACATAACTCTGAAACTACAAAAGATATATTTTTCTGTGTCCAAAATCTAGTCGGGGAGCATCATCCGGTTCAACCGGCTCTTGCTATAATACGTGTTGTAAGCATGCTGTATAAAATACACTATTAAAATACAGACTGCGTATAGATATGTAGTATAAATTTTGTACACTATTAAAATTAAGACTGCGTAAAGACATGTAGTATAAATGTACACTATTATAATACAGACTGCGTATAGATATTAGTATAAATGTACATTATTATAATACAGACTGCGTATAGACATGCAGTATAAATGTACACTATTATAATATAGACTGCATATAGACATGAAGTATAAATGTACACTATTATAATATAGACTGCGTAAAGACATGCAGTATAAATGTACACTATTATAATATAGACTGCGTATAGACATGCAATATAAATGTACACTATTAAAATATAGACAACTGCTTATAGACATGAAGTATTAATGTACACTATTATAATACAGACTGCGTATAGACATGAAGTATAAATGTACACTATTATAATACAGACTGCGTATAGACGTGCAGTATAAATGTACACTATTATAATATAGACTGCGTATAGATATGCAGTATAAATGTACACTATTATAATACAGACAACTGCTTATAGACATGAAGTATTAATGTACACTATTATAATACAGACTGCGTATAGACATGCAGTATAAATGTACACTATTATAATACAGACAACTGCGTATAGACATGAAGTATAAATGTACACTATTATAATACAGACTGCGTATAGACATGCAATATAAATGTACACTATTATAATACAGACAACTGCTTATAGACATGAAGTATTAATGTACACTATTGTAATACAGACAACTGCGTATAGACATGTAGTATTAATGAAACACTTTTATAAATTACAGACTGCGTAATAGACATGCAATATAAATGTTGTACACTATTATATACAGACTGCGTATAGACATGCAATATAAATGTACACTATTATAATACAGACAACTGCTTATAGACATGAAGTATTAATGTACACTATTATAATACAGACAACTGCGTATAGACATGAAGTATAAATGTACACTATTATAATACAGACTGCGTATAGACATGAAGTATAAATGTACACTATTATAATACAGACAACTGCTTATAGACATGAAGTATTAATGTACACTATTATAATACAGACTGCGTATAGACATGCAGTATAAATGTACACTATTATAATACAGACAACTGCGTATAGACATGAAGTATAAATGTACACTATTATAATACAGACTGCGTATAGACATGCAGTATAAATGTACACTATTATAATGCAGACTGCGTATAAGCATGCAGTATAAATGTACATTATTATAATACAGACTGCGTATAGACATGCAATATAAATGTACACTATTATAATACAGACAACTGCTTATAGACATGAAGTATTAATGTACACTATTATAATATAGACTGCGTATAGACATGCAGTATAAATGTACACTATTATAATACAGACAACTGCGTATAGACATGAAGTATAAATGTACACTATTATAATACAGACTGCGTATAGACATGCAATATAAATGTACACTATTATAATACAGACAACTGCGTATAGACATGCAGTATAAATGTACACTATTATAATATAACTGCGTATAGACATGCGTATAGACATGCAGTATAAATGTACACTATTAAAATATAGACTGCGTATAGACATGCAGTATAAATGTACACTATTATAATACAGACTGCTTATAGATATGTAGTATAAATGTACACTATTATAATTCAGACTGCGTATAGATATGTAGTATTAATGTACACTACATCAGCATTTTCCGGTTCAATGATTTTTTTTTGTCCGAGGTTTTTAAAATTGACCCTTTTAATAATTTTTTTTCAAAGTTTATTTCGGACTTCTCGTGCTTATACCACTTTATGCAATTTTTAATGAAATTTTACAGGATTGATCTGTAAGCTCATGTCCTTTGCGCATATTGCACACAGGTTTTTCCGGTTGAATGATTTTTGCCGAGAAAAAAAGTGATTTTTCTGTGTGTTGCCAGATTCACAAAAGCTTGTCCGGAATACTTCTCTCAAAAACTACCATTGTAATTTCATCCAAACTTTACAGGAATAATCAATATCAAGTCTAGTTGTGCATTTCATTGGCTTTTTATGGTTCAGTGAATTTTGTC